TTTTTTTTTTTTTTTCATTCGTCTTATAAATTTTTGTCGTTTTAAATTACCCAATTTACAAATTAGAAAAAAAAAAAAAAAAAATTTAAAACAAACGATCGATGAATGAATGAATGAATGAAACAATCAAATCGATTAACAATGAAACAAATTAATCTAATAATAATAATAATGATAAATGATAAATAATAAATAATAATAATAATAATAATAATAATGATAAAAACAACTTAATTTAAAAAAAAAAGATGAGATTTTACAATACACACATACAAAACCAAGACCGCGCGCCGTCCGACATTTTGTTTTTTTTTGCTATTAATAATTTTTGCTATTGTTCGATCGTATGAATCCATATAATAAATGAAAATCGAGAAAACAAATTTCCCGATATTTTTGTGATCGTCCATTTACCGAATTGATCGTAACGGTAAATACTTATTATTATTATTTATCATTTATCAATACTATTATGATAATAATTATTTTGATTTTCTTAATTAGTAATAATAATTAAAAATGAAAAAAAAAAAAAAAGCTGCATTCAAAGTCTTCGTATTTTTTTTTCGATTATTTATTTATTTATAATAATAACCGTCGGTTATTTAAAATTAGAGAGCAAACAAAGAAAGTAAAAAACCGTTAAAAAAAAAAATTTTCTTTCTTAATTTATTATTATTATTATTATTATTGTAAATTTTTTCGCTCACTTTCGCGTTTTCCTCTGTCGTATGTTTTATCTCTCTCTCTCTCTCTCTCTTTTCCCTCCAAAACTTAAAGAAAACTAACGATTGTGTATGACGTCATACACAAAATAACTTCTGCTTTAATCGAAACTATAGACATCTGTGAACGAAAAACTAACTAACAAACAATCGCGTTTATACCGATGTAATTACATACTGTTTATAAAAAAAAAAAAAAAACGTTTAAAATGATATTTTTGTTCTTTCGGTTGATAGCCTTTTCCTTTGGCTATTATAAATAGTAAATTAAAAACCATTGTTAAACAAATAAAATTGATCTTGGTTTTAAATTAAAATTAAAAGTAAAATATCCGACTCTTTTGAAGTCGAGCGAAAAAAAAAAATTATTTTCGTTTTATTTTACGTTAGATACGTTATTTGCCGCCATCTTGAAAGTAAATCGTTTTATACATACATACACTCACACACACACACACACTCATTTATATATATACTTATATACAGTTTTTTTTTTTTTTTTTTATGATTTTAACATTTCGATTCGGACTCACCGCAGTGAAATTCGATTCATATTTTTTTTTTCGAATTAAGTAATTTTTTTTTTTTTTTAAAATGACGTTCATAACACAGCCTTGGCTACGATAATCGAAATTCAATTTCGAGAAAACAAAATGAAAGAAGAAGAAATTAATTAACTAGTTTCAAACGGAAACTAGTTAATTAATCATATTTCGAGTTGTTTATTAGGCGGATGCGAAATAAACGGTTCACTCCACATTCTTCTTAAATCGCCCTATAAATAAATGAATAAAAAAATTCCATCCATTAATACAACCCACAAATAATAATTAATCGTTATTACAGGTTGAACATCATCCAAAAAGAAAGAAAAAAAAGAAATTGATAATCTTAACTTACTTTTAAATAGGCCATTGTTAAAAGAGGCAACAATGTAAATGGTACCAAGTACAATAAAGCAGGTTGTGCTGCTTTGAAAACTTCACTGGAAACAGTCGCAGTAACTAAACCCAAAAAATATCCTAATAATGAACAGTGGAAGTATCTAAACAAATACGTAAGTCACATTTAAAATAATTAATAACCGTTAAATTGTTATTTTTAAACTGTAATAATAATGTACGCACGTGATATTACTCAAATGTTTAGGAGGAGGTACTCCCAATTCGCCCAAATGGTTCAACTGCGATTTTTTATAAGCGTCATAACGCAATACGAAACATAATAACAAGCCAGGCATCACCTTTAAACAAAAACAATATGATTACAATCAAGCCGAAGAGTACTACTACTACTACCACAAAGACGGTAAGTTATAATTTACTCACTATATCTCCCAATCCCAACATTGAAAAATGTCCTGCATGATTCATACTTGGAAATACGAGTTTTCCAGGCAATGATAATTTGGGTGCATCTTTGACAACGCCCCCCAAATGCAAACGTCTTGCCACCATTCCCACCGGATTTTCAGCTGGCCTAGTTGCCACCTTAGAGTAATATTTGTAATAGAATTTTAAAATGGGATAGTTTTACTCGAACAAAAGCAAAAACCCAAAAAAAGTAAAATTACCTTAACCATGACATTGGCGTTGAAAATGTATGAAGAAAAAAATACCCAAAAAACGTCATATATGAGGAGTCCAGTGAGTAGGAGAGTTGATACTTTCAAACTGGGTAATCTAACGAATGCAATGAAAGCAACACAAAGTCCCATTCCCATTGCTATAAAAAAAAAAAAAAAAACATAAATTTTAACTACATAATGAATAAATAATTGATTAATTTCATGCACGTTTGTAATAATATATATATATATATAATATAATAAATCATTATTAAATGACCTTTTGTAGACATTAAACAAAAAAAAATTTATTAATAATAATAAAGTTGGCTGACCTCAAACGAAAAGTAAAAAGAAAAAAGTAAAAAAAATTACCATCCATTAAAATCCAATGCCCGGTTAATATCCAAATGCAAACAATAAAAACTGCCAATGAAAATGACAATAATTCTGCACCAGTAAATCTACCACAAATTCCAAATGAAATTCTAAAAATTTTAAACGATATTATTTATTTTTTAATAATAAAAAAAAATCATTCGATCAAGGTCATTTCTTTCCTTTTTACTTACTTGTTTCCATCTGAACATGGTCTGATTATGTACTGGCACATTGGGAGTAATAAAAATGCCAATGCAACAGTGGCTATAACTTTAATTTAAAAATTTATTTTTAATTAGTAAATGTTTTTTTGTTTGAAAGTGTCATTTATATACAAAAAAAACAATGATAACTCACTTGCTGTGCAAATGGCAAATAGCATTTGCATTGAATCAAAAAAGAAAAACATAATTAATAATGATATTGATGCCCCCAAAGGCAAGCAAAGAGCTTGAATTGTGTCCAGAGTTTGAACACCTAAAAAACATTTATGCAATAATTAATATTATTATTTCAAGGGTATCTTGTTATATGTTTTTTACAATGTAATAAATTGTATACACAACTTCACAGGGGTTAGGTAATTAATGTCTCTGCATTATATAAAAAATTCAAGTAAGTAAGTAAGGTTTGATTTCGAACGACAGAAAAGGTTGGCATTTGGGGGGGGGGGAGGGAAAAGAATAAGGGAAATATTAGTTGGTAATTTATTAAACACCTTCCGTTCTGGATTGACTATTCGATAATCCAGACAATTGTTTATTATGCTCTTTTTCTTTTTCTCTTTCTCTGGCTTCTTCTTCCATATTCAATGATCTGAAACTGCCGTAGACAATTAAAAGAATTGAAATAAGAAATGTTGACACTCTAGAAGAATCCATTATTGAGTAGGCCCTAAAAAAAAATTTTTTTTTTTTACATAGTTTACATAAAAATAATCATTTGGGATTAAATAAAAATTTGAAAAAAAAAAAAGAATATTTTGATGTATTTTTCAAATGATATATTTATTTTAAAAAATTGACAGAAAGTCATAAAAGTATTAAATAAAATAATTATATAAATTACACTAACCACTGATACTCCTCAGGGGTGGCCATTTTGAACCAGATTAACAATTACTGGCTACTTGCCCCTATTTTTCACTGTGCTAGCACCTAAAAAAAATAAAACAATTTAAATTATCGTATAAAAACGTTTATATAGCATTTTAAAGGTTTATAAAAATTTGAAACGAGTAAAAATCTTTTCAAAATCAATCGGATTCTATAAAATAATTAAAAAACTTGTCGTAAGAAAAACAAAAAAAAAAAAACTATTATAAAACTTTTTTTTTTTTTTTATACTTCGTAAATTATAAATTGAGGACAATTACCTTTTTTTAAATTTTATAATCATATCGCTTAAGGTTCCATATAAAATATTTTTTTAAAATTTTTTTATTAAAAAATTAACTCATTTAACTCGACAAATTAAAATATAATATTTACTCTAATACTGATTTTTTCAACACCATTGTATATTTCGAAGAGACAGCCATTTTGATACCTATTATTTTCAACCTACATAAACTTGTAACTTATCGTAAATGTTAATTATTTCATTAAAAAGCATTTTTACATTATACAAAAGCAAAAAAAATACGTAAACATAAATCCGAAATACGCATATGTATGTGACTTTCAAAAAATATACATATATTATTAAATAAAAAAAAAAAAATAATCGATACAAAGACTATTTATTCTTCACACTACTCTCAATTGAAATCTCATAACACAGATTTGCCTACTTTCCCTTTTTCGTGTCAATAAAATTCTCAATAGGAAACTCTAATTCCACGAATCTTTTTTTTCTTTAACGCTTCGCCAAGTATTTTTAATTGGTTTCTTTTTTTATTTTTTGTTGTTTTCAGTCAAAAAGAAACGAAAAATCTTTTCTCGACTACCATCTCGTCAAACGGGTAAGTTAATAAATAAGTTATAATAATAAAACTAACAACTAACAAAGGATTTAACAAAAAATTACAGTAAAAAAAAAAAAAACGACCGTTTCTCATTCGAAATTTTTACCCATACTTTTTTACTTGGTTAATAATTAAAAAATATTGCAAATTTCTTCTTTTCTCTTCCACTTACAACTAATTTTCATCCTTAATTATATTTTCGTAGTAATGGGCAAAATTTAAAATAACCAAAAAACCGTTTTCTTTATTTATGGCCAAAAGTTTATTGAACGCATCACATATGTATCCATTAGGTATATAAAATCCGTTGATAATAAAAAAACCATAAATTATTTCACTTTAGAAACCCTCCCCTCTCCACCCTACCCCGGGGGGCAAAAGAAAATGAAATTAACGTTAATCTACTTGATAACTTTACCAATATATATATATATATTAAAAGATAAAATCATTTTATGTACTTGTATAAAAAATTAAGTTAGTAAAAACAAGATGGACGACGTCAAGTCTCTCTCTGTTTTTTTGGCGGGTGGTTTCTAACAAAATATTTTATTTTATAAAATAAGAATAATAATAATAATAATAATTTGAGAGAAACGTGTTAACTCATGCACGTGTGTGTGTGCGTGTATGTTATCACTACTGATTGATAAAGCTTTAACTTGGCACACACACCCAAAAAAAAAAAAAAATGATAGTATATGAAAAACAAATCATGTTGTTATAAATTCACATATTATTCTAATATCGACATAACAATAATAATAATAATGATAATAGTAATGATAATAATAATGATAATAATAAACTCTTTTTCTTTTTTTTTAAATGTTTTTTATTATTATTATTTTTTAAAATACACTAATAATTATTTTCAAATGATAAAGCTAAAATACAGTTATTAAATTCATGTTTCCATATCTATTCTGGAATGTTCTTTTTTTTTTTCACTTATTTATTTATTATTATTATTATTTCAATTTATTTTATTGAGCATTATTATTATTATCTCTCTTTCTTTCTCTACATCTTTCTTCTCTTTTTATGTTATTAAAAATAATGATAAAAAATAAAATTTTGAAAATTTTTCATGGATTTCCTTCACAACAAAATTTGCAAAATTATTAAAAATTAATAATAATAATAATAATAATAATAATAATTTTAATAAATAATAATAAATAAACGAAATCATCATCATCATCATCATCATCGATGTTGAAAAAATTTAATAAAATTAATAAAAATAAAAAATTAAAAATAATAAAAAACATGAATTTAAAACTGTATTTAACCATAATAATTTAAATAAATTATTTATTTATTTATTTAATTAATTAATAATAAATTATTATTATTATTTGTTTTTTTTGTTATTATTCCACAGACGTAATTATTAAAGAATTTTTAATTAATTTATATATATATATATAATAAAGTTTATGTGACGTCACCACGTTTTTTCACCGTAAACAAAAAATTGAACAAAAATAAAAGAAAATTTCATCATTTTTTAATAATTTTATAATATTATCATTATCATCACTATTACATTATTAATTACGCGGATAGGTTAATTAATTAATTAATTAATTAATAAAAAAAAAAAGAATCGATCACAAGTGAAACCCGGAAACGCACTTTTCATTAATATACAAAAAAAAAAAAAAAAATTTTCTTTCAATTTTCATCACAAATTAATTAATTTATTTTTTTCCCGGTTGTTATAGAATTTTCTCGAACGTTCTTACATCATTAAATACAAACGATAATAATAATAATAATAATAATTCAAAAAAAAAAAAAAAAAAAACTGAACATTTTTACATAAATCACAACAGAACAAAAATTTTCCTTATTTTCTTTTCCTTTTGTAAATAAGAAACGAAGACGACGATGAAAGAAAATGAAGAAAATCAAAAAAATAAATAATTTTTTTTTCTCTTTTATATATATATATAAAAAAAGATAAAAAAAATAAATACATAAAAATAAAATTGATAATTTATAATCAAAAAAAAAAAATAATAATAATAAGTGATGTGTGATTACTACATTTAATAGAAAAAAAAAAAATTAAATTAAATCTTGATTTTTCTTTCTTTCATTTAATTTCGTTTCCGTTTCCGTTTCTTTTCTTCATTACAAGTAAACTCACGTTAACCTCCATATTTAAACAATAATAATAATAATAATAATGAAAACAAAAATTAAAGTAAAAAAAATTCTAAACCTCTTAATCAAACTCTATTAAAAAATTTTTTTTTTTTTTTTTTTGGGAGGGGAGGGGGGGGTTTCACAAAGTTTAATTTTTTTTTTCCAAGGGAGGGGAGGGGAATTCCTGTTTTCATTAAAAAAAAAAAAAAAACATTTTTAATTATTTTCAACTAATTATTTTTAATAATAATTAATCAATTTTTTTTGTTTCTGATAAAAATGCAATTAATAAAATGCAATAATAAAAAGCAACGAAAATCATCATTATTATCATTATCATTATTATTATTATTTTTAATAAATTTTTTTTATTTATACATATACATATATATTTTAATTTTAATTTTAATTTTAAAAGCGTTCAATAGTAGTATTGTTATTTAATTTAATTATAATTATAAAAATTATCATCATCGTTATCATTATCATTATTATTATTAATAATATTAATATTAATTAAGATAAAATCATTGACAAATTGAAAAAAAAAATTTATATATATATATATATTTACTCGAGTTTTGACTAATCAATTCATTAAACGTCGTAGTAGTAGTATTATCATTATTATTATTAATTAATAACCGTATACTCGAAAAAAATAATCATCATTATCATCATTTTCGTTATCACTTCAGTATCGTTATCATTCATATAAATCAAGTATTATATTTAATAAAGCTTAGTACATACAAAAAAAAAAAGAAAAAAAAAAAAAATCATCGGCCTTAAATTTATTTATTAAAATATATATGTATTTATTATTATTATTATTATTATTATTACTTTTTTTTTTTTTTAAATTTATTGCATGTTATTCTTTACATAGTTTTTATTTAAAAAAATTATCAATATTATTATTATTATTATTATTATTACTTAATTTTAGGATCTGAATGAAATGCATTCGAATTTTTTTTTTTTACAAATTATTGCATGTGTATATATATATATATAAAAAAAAAAAACTTTCTCTCCTCCACTGATAATAATAATAATAATAAAGAATAAAAATACAAATTAACCATCGAGGAATGAATTTATTTTAAGTATTAAGCAAACGATACCGAAATAAAAACGGAAAAAAAAAAGCAGCAAAAAGTCGAACTAATTCGACATCAGTCGTTTTAACAATTTTATCATCATCATCATCATCATCTTATTAATCTTAAATAAATAAAAAAAAATGCCCGAGAGATCAATATATATATATATAGAAGAGAAGCCATTTTTTTTTTTTTTTTTATTTATCTAAAACAATTAAAATTAAAGCACAGTAATTTAATCTATATTTAATAATTAATGGCCGCACCCATTTTACTTTTAAAAAAAATTTGTTTTCTCATGTAAATGCCAATAAATAATCAATAATAATAATAATAATAATACATACATACATACATATATATGCATATGCATAATTCAAATTTTACATCACAAAAAAAAAAAAAATTAAACAATTTAATAAATTAATTATATAGAAAAAAAAAAAAATTATAAAAAAATTAAAACTCTTTCAGAAATTACAAAGTGTATATGTATGTACGCACGTGCATATATGCGCATGTATGCACGTGTGCACGCACGTATATGTTTTATATGTGAATCATACATTTTTCAATTAAATATATATATATATATATATAAAATAATTTTATTCGCGTTTAATTTACAAGATTCAACGACAAACAAATACAATTGACAAAAAAAAAATCAAGAAAAGAGATAGAAAATAATTAATAATAATAATAATAATAATAATAATAATCGGTGTAGAACGATAAAAATCAATCAATCAATCAATCATTCAGATCCAATGTAATTTTTTTTTTTTTTTTACTTAAATTTATCATAAATAACTTTTTCCGGTGGTTTAGACGACAAATAATTGAAGACAAATAGAAAGTTATTATCATTATTATTATTATTATTATTATTATTATTATTATTATTATTATTATTTCTATCATAATTCTTCTACATTACGATCATTATTATTATTATTAATTTTTTCCATCTTGTTTTATTTATATATATATAGTTGATTTTTTCGGTGTAAACTTTGACCTTTTGTTTGCGTAACAAGAAACCTAATGGATAGTTGTTAGTTAATCGGTGAAAAATCAAGGGAGGGGGGGGGGTGAGAAGAAAGTTTTAATTTTTTTTGTTTTTTTGTTTTTTTTTTTTTCTATGTCGGCTTTCATTTTGTCTTCACCACCACCGGGAGCAGCAGCAGCAGCAGCAGCAGCAGTTATTTATAATAAAGCTTTAAAAAAAAAAGAAAATTTTTCTTCTTTTTCTTTTTTTGATTTAATCATTACTATTATTATTATTATTATTATTATTATTATTATTATTGTTGTTGTTGTTGTTGTTGTTGTTGTTGTTGTTGTTGATATAGAATGGATGAACGTGGTGTCGCCACTTGAAGTGCGAAGATTTGGATTTTTGCTTTTGTTTTTTTTTTTTTTTTAAAAAATTTTTTTTTATTTTATTTTATTTTTTTTTTTTGTTTTAACTTCTTCATAACACAGGCTATTACGATACATCCTGATCTTCGACATCTTGCAATTGTTCTTTTTGTTCCGTTTCACCTGAAAAATCGAAAGAAAAAAAATCAATTAATATAATTAAGAGAGAGAGAGAGAGAGAGCTTTTATTAATGCTACTACTACTACTACTACTACCAACAGCAACAACAGCAACAGCAACATCATCATCAATAATTTTTAAATTGAATTTTAATTTAATAATCTACAAAGACCTACAATATTTAAATATTTTCATTTTCCCCTTATTTGAATTGTTTAAGGAAAAAAACTCTCACAAAATTTTTTTTTTAAAATAAATAATATTTTCATGTACCGTTTTTGAATAAATAATAATAATAATAATTTTTTGACTCGCAATCGAAACGCGCTTAAATAAAATAATAATAGTAATAATAATAATAATTAAATAATAATAATAAAAAAAAATTTAAACTTTTTTTTCTTTTTTTTTTTTTTTTTTCGTTTACTTTTAAACTCATAAATAATTTAATTTTTTTTTTAAATATTCACATGAGTATATATATAATAAAAAAAAAAAAAAAAAAAAAATGCAATAAATCAAATTTAAACTAATTAAACATTTTTTTTTTTTTTTATACTAAAATACTTGTATGTATAATAATAATAATAATAATAATGATAATAATAATAATAATAATAATAATGATAATAATAATAATAATAATAATAATCGGAAACATTTATGCTCTCTCTGCTTATATAGTGCTCGGTATTTTACTTTTTCTTTCTCTTTTTTGTAAAAAGGCAAATAAAATAATAATAATTATAATTAATAATAAGCAATTAAAATAATAATAAAAAAAAAAAAAAAAGGAATGATGATGATTCGAGAAGACAAAAAAAAGGGAAGAGAAAAGGGAGGGAGGGAGGAAGAAACGAAATGATGATAATAATAATAATAATAATAAATAAGGGAAAAGAATAATTTTTTTTTGTTTGTTTTTGTTTCAATTTCTCTAAATGTTTAAATGTTAAAAAATGAATGGTTATGACGCAGCGGGAGCAGGAGCGGTGTCAGGAGAAGCGGCGGCAGCACCGGCGGCTGGAGGACTGTTGTCGTTGGTCGTACCATCTCCTTGCATGTCTGAAGTCCATAGAGTCAAATTGTCGCGCAAAAGTTGCATTATCAGAGTTGAGTCTTTGTAGCTCTCTTCGGACAGCGTGTCTAATTCAGCGATGGCATCGTCGAAAGCCGCCTTGGCTAGCCTGCATGCCCGATCCGGAGAATTCAATATCTCGTAGTAGAATACTGAGAAGTTTAATGCGAGACCCAACCTGACAAAACGATAATCAATCAATCAATCAATCGAACAAATCGTTTTCCCGCGCTTTTCCCTTTTTAAAAAAAATAAAAAAATAAAAAAACCGTTAAGGTACGGTACCTTATGGGGTTCGTAGGGGGTAAATCTGCCATGGCAATGTCGGATGCAGATTTATAAGCCATTAGTGAATTTTCAGCTGCTTCTTTTCTATCGTTTCCAGATGCAAATTCAGCTAAATATCGATGATAATCGCCTTTCCTACGGTAAAAATTTAACAATAATAATAATAATAATAATAATGAACTCGATTACAATTCCAACACACATAATAATAATAATAATAATAATAATAATAATAATAATAATAATGATATGTAAAAAAGCATACATTTTGTAGTAGAAGACTCTTGATTCGCCACTAGAGGCACAGGAAATGAGATGTTTGTCTAAAACATCCAAAATATCAGAACAGATGTCTTTAAGCTCCTTTTCAACCTGTCCCGAAGAAGAAAAAATAAATAATAATAATAATAATAATAATAATAATTATTAACAAAAAAATTTTAAAATTTTCAACAATTTGTCAACTACAAACTTGTAATCTGTATTGTCTAATCATTTCAATTTTTTCTTCCGTTCCTTTGATTTCTTCTTTTTGTTCGATTGAACTTATTATTCGCCAGGATGCCCTTCGAGCTCCAATTACGTTTTTATATGCAACAGAAAGAAGATTTCTTTCCTCGACCGTAAGTTCCACGTCTAGTGAAGCTACTTTTTTCATTGCTTCAACCATTTCTTTAAAAAAAAAAAAAAAAAGAGAAAAAAAAAATTTTAATTACGTTTTCTTTTTTTTTTTTTTTTCCTCACCTTTCCCTTCTTTCATAAATTATTCATAATTAATGAAATTCAACACACGCACACACACACACTTGGTACACAAAGGAACCAAAGTAACTAGAGATGATGATGAGAAACTTACAAAAGAAAAAAATTCCATCAATCATTAATTCCTACATTCCTGCACAAAATCTTCTTAATGTTTCTCTTTTTAACTACTAATAAACTTTCTAAATATTTTTAAGGTGAAAAAAAAAAAAAAAAAAAAAATAACTAAAAACTTTTTTTTAAAAAATCCTTCGATGACGAACAAAGGGGATATGGAAAGGCGTTAAAACAAATTTTAATTTCTCTCTCTCTCTCTCTCTCTCTCTCTCTCTCTCAAATGTTTAAATATTTGAAAGTAATAATTTTCTACCGCAAAATGGAGAGGAAAAGAAAAAAAGAAAAAAAATTCATTAACATAATCATTTGAAAAGAAAATTAAATTATCACGGTAACAAGTTTTCTCGTTGTTTTATCATCATCATCATCATCATCATCATCATCATCATCGTTCTTTAATTTGTTTCAATAAAAACTTTCATCTTGCGATTAGCAAACGCGCTCTATAGCTTTTGCTACTACTACTACTATTATGCCATTTAAAAAAAAATAAACAAATATGGCACGAGGTCATTTTCAAAGAGAGAACCAGACAACAAACTTTAATATAAAAATCAAGAACAATAAACTTATTAAGAAAAGGAAAGGAAAGGAAAGGAAAGGAAAAAGGTGAATCAACATTAGCGGTCGTGATGATAATGATAATGATGATGTTGTTGTTGAGTAGAAAAAGGTAAAATTTCTATTTAACTATTAACTTAATTTAATTTCATTTCTGTAGATTCTTCTGGGGTTGAGTTTGGAAAAACGAAAAAAAAAAAAAAAAAAAGCATTTTCATTCGCTTTCCCCTCCCCCCTCCCTCCGACGGGAAACTTTTCATTTTGTAATTTAAACTCGAAATTAATTGGGGGGGGGGGAAAAAAATTAATTATTGTTTTCGTAATTGTGTACCAACTGCCTCAGATAGGAGCGAAAGATAATGTTTTTTATTATCATAACATATATCAAATAAAGTTCATCATCATAGGCAGATTTAAGAAAACAATAATAATAATAATAATAATAATAATAATAATAATAATAATAATAATAATAATAATAATAATAATAATAACAAAGCTCTTTACAATTACTAAAAAAAAAATTTCCCGTTGCATTCTGTTTAAAAAAAAAAAAAAAACAAATCAAATGCCACCATCACATTTAAAAATTAAAAGAGGAAAAAGAAAAAAGAAAACTCGTCAAAAAAAAAAAAAAACCTACGCAAAAATTAAAAGGTCAAGATGAGCTAGAGGATATATAGGTGAATTCTCTCAGTTGACACTGAATTTTTTTTTTTAATGCAGGTGTAATAATAAGGAGGAGGACAGGTGTACCTAAAAACCTAAACTCTTCAAACAAAAATTAATTATTATAATTTCTTTTTTAAAAAGTAAAATTCAACCAAGAAATAATTTAAAAATTAATTTTTCAATTTCATCCTCATGAATATTTCATTTTTCCCATTGTTTGTCACGACGATGAAATTAATAAATTTTCCACGTTACGTTAGGTTCCCCAAGAAAATAAAGAAAATCACGAGATGTTCTAGAATAACTGAATCGAAAAAGTATATATGCATATATAAATTCGTGTTTGATAATAAAGTCAAAAAATTATTATTATTATTATTTATCTGCTTTTTTTCCCCCTCTTCGTCCTCCTCCCCATCCTCCTCCTCCTCCTCCTACTTTTCCCCAACATATCTAAATAACTTTATTTGTTTTAATAATAATTAATAATAATAATAATAATGATGATGTGAAACAAATGTTTGCAATGTAGTAAAACCATTTATTATTATTATTATTATTATTATTATTATTATTATTATTATTATTATTATTATTACTGGAAAAGAAAGAAGACTATTTTAAGTATTCGAGTGACAAAATGTTATAAAAATAAAGAAGAAAAAGGAGAAGGAAAAGGAAATAATTCTGTGCGCCATTCAATTTACCACCACCAGGCAGAACCAAAATGGATAAATCAATACTTTGGATGCATCCCCACATCTGCCACCAACCCCTTGACGTTACCATGGTAACCAACTGTTTGCCCGTTAAGCTATGGCGCCCGTGTACCAAATAGCTCCCCTTTACTTTTTAAAAAAAAAAAAAAAAAAAAAATCACGAAATGAAAAAAATTTTCCTTTTCGAAATGTATTCTTTGTAATAAAAAAAAAAATAAATAAATTACATGCTAAATATGCATTCGCAACGCCTGTGTGTGTGTAGGTGCGCGTGTTTGTACGTACAAAAAGAAAAAAAAATTTATGCTTAGACACGAAACTTTCCCCCCCATTTTTTTTTTTTTTTTTTGTTAAACGAAGTTTTAGGTAGAATTAATTAATCAGTTATTCAACACAATCAATTACCAATTGTAAAAATTAACAAAAAGAAAAAAGAAACATATTTGCAGAATCCTTACAACCCCCTCCCCAACCAATCTCAGTCTTGAGCTATGTATTTCTTCCTGCCTTCACCCCTCCCCTCTCCTCCCCCCCGCGCAAAGGATTAAAGATATAATTTTCCTGTTTTTTTTTTCTCTCATTTATCCAACGTTTTTAAAACTTTTTTCGATCAATTTAAACAAGATAAAAAGAAAAAAAAAAACGAGAATGATATTGAATGGAAAAAATTTAATCACCTGGTGCCTGATATGAGATAAAAAAAAATATTGATTCATTCACGACATTATTTTTTATATAGAATTATCGATTTTTTTCCCCCTTTATTTAGTTGCCTTATTATTAATTTTAATCCAGTTTGACGTAATAAATAAATAAATAAATAATAATAAAAAAATAATTAATGCAAAACAACTAACTAACAAACTATTTCATTAACCTAATTTTTTTTTTTTTCTCTTTTCATTTCAAATTTTGCACACTTTCAATTTTGTGTCAGTCGAAATTTAATTGTAATAGTTATTATTATTATTATTATTCAAATAAGAAGTAACGCAATCTTTTTTTTTTTTTTTTTTTTTTTTTAATTTATTCCTAAACCAGAGTTTACAAAAAAAATTCCTCTCATTAAATTTTCCATATTTTTTTTCCTAAATTTAAATACATATCGTTATAAGATTGGGGGGGGGGGGG